TGTCTCCAAGATGCACAGCGTCTACCACATTGCGATAAGGTCCGAACGCAAACGGTCTTGGTTACGGCGGATGAAGCTCAAACGATTGGACTCCATCTTTGCATAAACATCAGTGATATATTGCTGATACAGGTTGCCGAAACGATGAAGATCATGTCTGTTTGCATCACTGTCATTGCCGCGTATCATGAGCCGGAACTTGTACCAATCCATGACAGTGATTTTCTGCCGGCGTCAGTGCGAGCCTCAATCGTCCAGCCTTCATCTCCTATTACGAACACTTAATATGCAATGGAAATAACTCATGATGGAACTCAGGACAAAATCATTTTCTGTAAGTATACCTTGGGGGAAAAGGAGAACATAATGCATAGCATCATAAAAGCGATGCATTTCACTGATGTTTTGTAGCTGATTGGATCTCGTTCTTAGAACGATATCGCGATTGCCAACATCCGTACCATTATCATCGACGATCAAAATGCCGATTTCGCCAGCAGTGGGGCGGTTGTAGCGGCGAGCATCGGGTACCCCTTCAGCCCTGATAACCATTCTCACATCCGCCATGCCTTCATTGCGAGCAATTTCGGCCATGTTGCGAAATGATGTCGCGAATGGGCTGATGCGGTGCATCATATCCTGCAAGGTCTGTAGCGTTTCATTGATCAACGTAGCGTTTGTGACGGACTGTCGGGTTTGCAGCTCGGTCGACGGGTCGTGAACGTAGATTTGCGCGAAAGCGGGCCTTGTTGTGTTGTCGGCAGGCAAAATAGACCCGATTCGATGGTGGACACTACCGTGGATGCGGAAGTTGTACGCACCACCGATGGAGTTGGCTACTGTCTGATCAACGTGGACACCAAGCGAAGTAAAACTGAGGGAGTTGTTGTATGCGCGGATGTTTGTGCGGAATTGGGTGGAGGCCTCATCCGTGCCACGCAACAAACGGGAAATTTCAGGAGGGGTGGGGGAAAGGGGTGGCAATCGGACACTTCCTTGGTCACAGCATAGGTAAATGCAGGTCGTACTTGGGAAGAGTTTGAGATGCGCTCTTGAATCCAAAGACGTGCATGGCAATTAGAGCATTCCCTGTCCATGCGACCAAAATAGTGCCGGGGAGGAATCACAGCTGCAACAGCACGGGCGATATTATGCATCTACATGAAGTAAAGGATCATTAATTGATATACTGAATGCTCAAGCTTCTGACAGCCGATGACTATATATCAACGAATAGCAAGTATAGCTGGTATAGATATGGTCACTAACGTTTTGAGCAGCCTGGTTTGCAGGATTGTTTGGGCACAATCGGTTGGTGGAGCGATGATGACCCTCTTGCCCACAGCTTGAACACACAGGAACGCGTTCTTCGGTTTCAATTCCAGCTTCATGTTCATTTTGCTGACGCATTTGCAACCGAGCGGGATTATGAAGACAGTTGCGGTGCGAAATGCGTTGATGGCCGGGCAAGCCGCATGAAGGGCAAATTGGAGTTGACATGTTTGTTGATTGAAGTGAAGATTAGAAGTGAGTTTTGAAATGCGAGAAGAGAGAAGAGCAGTATACAGTGCAGCTCTTGTTTCTTTGTTGCACACAATAACTATTATGATCTCAGCAGCAAAACTCTCTTTGAAAAGCACTTTTTGCTTATATTCTCAACGCTCAAGGTCATGTCAGCAAGTCAAATTGTCAGGATTAGAAGATTGAGATGGCGTGTCTAACAATGATATATGCCTAAAAAAGTAAAGATCACTGTACACTGTGTAAAATTATGTGTAATAAAGTCAAAGTAAATAGAGGTACTGCAGTAGAGATGGCTGAGAAAAAAGAGTAAGAGAAAGAATAGCACAATGTCAACTTCCTTTTTGATATTGTTCATGTATGACAGGCATTTAGTAGCATCCGCACTTCGAATCGACCAGCTACTGCTGTCTTTAAATTATATGTGATGGTGTGTCTGTTCTATCCCCTCCGAACACTACCTCTCTAAATCCAAAATACACTTGTATCGCTTGTTTTCTTAAAACAATATATAATATATACGATTTTGGACTGTTTATTTATTGTATCAACAGAAAGTTACTTTTTGGTTTGCTTTGAAGTACATTGGTTTTCGTGAAATTCTGCCATTGCTTCATCTATCTCTACCATGACGTCTCTTGGATATAAGTATAAGTACTTGTAGTCGTCCGTTAAGCCTTCCTTAATCTTGCCTGGGTAAGCCTTACACATCGCCCTGTACTGCTCAACTTTTGCCAAGATTTCTTCATCGGATGGGCGTGGAGAGAATTCTGTGTGGCTTGCTGACATGGAGATGAATGTTTTGTGATAAAGAGAGAGAGAAAAAGTTTTGTGTAGCATTTAATATTTACACACTCTGTTGTGCTTACAGCTTTATTCTACGTCGGAGGTAAACAGTGAAGCCACATTCTGATTGTTTGAATGCTAGAAGACAATGCTGTAATGGTTACACGGTCGCCATGGCGACGAAAAAGCGTTATGGACAGATGGACATATCGAACACGTAAAGAGACTGTGAAGGAAAGAAAGGAGGAGGAGATTGAAAAGATTTCCTTTTTTGTGAGTTATAAATCGTAAAACTGAAGGATTTTAATAAATAGATATATAAATAAAGTTAAAAATTTAAAAGTTAATAAATTATTAAACAGTCTTCCATCCTTCACCACGAAACAACATCCTTCGCACCTGTATAACTCTTGTAGAACCTTCTTCGTTGTCTTTCTTATATAACGATCACCATTTTTTATTTTCATCCAATCCACAGCAATACAAAAGGAAAGAAACCCGTCAGTTATCCTTCCTGCTATCTACAGCTCATTTTCCATAAAGACTGGCGATGTTAACGTTGGTATATACAAAAGGTAAAAAGTAATCGCATCAGGCTGTATATTTTACAAGTCGATGGCGGATCAGCGTCATGTTGTATATAATTGTGTATGAGTAATGGAGAAGAAGATTGTTGCGTCATTCTTATTGTGAGTACGAATGGTTTGTGCAGGTAGAGGACGATGTTGTATTACGCACGTAAGTTTGACGTTGGATTGGTGTAAGATGGTGCATCAAGTATATACAGAGAAAATGAGAAAGAAGCAGTAATTCTGAATGGGCATATCTCTACTAAAGCTATACCTCAAGCACAACCGATAACCTTTTCCTTCCCTTGTTCACTTATCCAGCGTTTTTTTAAGCAGCAGTAACGGCGGTCTACTCCTTTATAAAGCTTGAGCACATGCTTTTTTTAAGAAAACAGTTACCTTCATTTCGTTTTTCAATAAATCCGTGGATTGTGCCGTTTTGTTTTCTTTGTTTTTTATTCATCGTGAAGAGAGTAGGAGCCATTTACAAGTGTGTGTCGAAGCTGTTGATTTGCCATGGCGAATAGTAATGAGAAAAAAAAAAGATCCCTGCTGCTGCTAACAAACCCCACACTTTCCACCTACCTCAGCCACCAGCCTCCAATTTGTTTCAAACTCAACCCGGGTAAAGTGAAATGAGGGGAAACGCTCAGGCCCCGTTCCCACAGCAGCAAAATAGGCTTATGCGCACAGTAGTAAGTCTTTGACGCACCCTTGCCATTTCCTGTACATTAGCCTACAAGCTTCTTGTCACGAGTGAAACAGCCATACTACTATATCTTGACATTGGCTTTGTACTGCTTAACTTCTATTATGTCTTGACTTGAATTGAAAATCTTAAGTACTCATATATTCTGCTCTGCTACACTTAATATATTATCTACTTCAACTTTTATTATGTCTTAGTTGACTAAAACTATGTCCAGGTTGACTGTTATTATGTCCAGGTTGGCTATTATTCATGTTTAGATTGATTATTATTCTTGTCAGAATGATTTTCATTCATGTACAGATTGATTTTTATTTTGTCTAGATTGATTTTACTCATGTCTAGATCGATTTATATTCATGTCCAGGTCGATGTATATTCATGTCTAGATCGTTTTATATTCATGTCCAGATCGATCTTTATTCATGTCCAGCTCGATTTTCATTCATGTCCAGCTCGATTTTCATTCATGTCTAGATCGATTATTATTCATGTCCAGATTAACTTTCATTCATGTCCACTCAGATTAACATTCATGTCTACTCTGCCTAAAATGAAATCCCTTCTGCCTAAATAAAAGTTCAAACGTCTGCTAGGAGATGAAAAATCCTGTATAATAATATTTTTTTGATGTTTATTAGTCAAGCTGAAGGGTTACTTAGAGTGGTGTAAAACAGCGATACGCTTTGCAAAACTATCACAATTCATCAACTCAAACAAGGATGTAGTCTTGCAGCATGTTCCAGAAATAATAAATCCAGACGAGCTCAAATCTCTCTTGAAGAAAGATTTCAATACTCATGCAGCCAACATACTTTCCAGTGTAAGCTTTTGTTTACTTTTTTGTTCTAATTCTCAATCGCTCTTATTCACAACATTATATCATAGGCTTCTTTTGTAGCTGACGTTGGAAATGTCAATTGGGCGGAACTTGCTAAAGATAAGGTATATCTAAAGATTCTACTGATAATCAAATATGATCGTGTAATAATCAATATTTTTCAAACTATATAGCAAGCTTATCAAGCTCAGAACAATCACAATAATAGTGATAATCTTGAAGTCAGTAGTTGTACAATCATCGAGGTAATATTTATTTGCTCACGACCGAACGACAGCATATTTTTCGTGTATTTACTCAATGTGTATCATTATTATTTTATTTATCACAGGATGGTGGCAGCATCATGGCACACGACACAAATTTGTTACAACCATTGAAAGAGTACTTGGTGAAAAAGGTATAGAAGATATAGTTCAAGCATATTCTATCTTCAAATTATTCTAACATACTTGTGATTTGGTCTGATTTTCATCCAGAAAAAGGAGATGGACTTCATTTGCCCCCCCTTCCTCCCGCTGATACCAATGGCCTTCAAAAAGACTTATTCCGTGCTTGTTACGTCTATCTACAAATGGACAAATTGACAAAAGCTCAAGAAAAACATTTACAGTAAGTTTTTTTCCTTTGTTCTGCGTTATTGCTAAGTAATAAATTAAAAGAATAAACACCAACATAATATGTAATGATATGTAGGCTTGCATTGTCTGCTGTTGTGAATACATTGAAAACTGACAAGGAAGTCAACATGAAGAAGTACATTGGTGAAATCACTTTCAGCCATTTGTCCAATATGATCAAGAGCGAGAATTTTCACAACGAATGTGTATACAACGACAAAGCAAATGATGCTGTAAAGCAAATATTTAAGGTAATATAAAAGGAGGGAGCCACAAATCCCATGTTTATCATGCTAATTTTACCGAGAACTTTGTTTCTAGGAGTATGAAGAGGGGGGTATCATGGCCGTACGAATCTATATATCTGAAGAAAAGATCAAGATGTTGAAAGCTGGAGAATATGATGGAAGCTCGGTTGTATTGAAGATTTACGACATCTTTTTATATATGTAAGGGGTTTTAATATTATTACATCGTTATCTTGATCAATGCACCATCGTTTTTTGACTAATTATGTATGTATTATTAATTTTTAGATTTGACATGATCCAATTCGACTTCCAAAACAGACATAGTTATATGATGTCTGAGAATGAATCCTTTGCTCAGTGGCAATATGTTTTCCGTGTTCTTTTTCAGTGCACAATTATCCAAGTACGAACGTAAGTAAACAAAACAAAGGGCTTAGTATATTATCATAAGCGAACTTGAATTAATACGTGCTTTAGTAGTGAGATCTTGTCCCAAGCCACAAGAGAAGAGATGAAAGAGGAAAATGGTGGTTTCGGGTGCAAAATCGACATGCTGATAGTAACTCACGGAAAGGATGGAGAAGAGAACCGTGATAAATTGGCGTCAAACGAACATAAGAAAGCAAACGCTGAGCATGATCTCATGTTCAAGCAACAGTCAAAAAGCATCTTGTGAATATTTGTATACTATCACAGCTGAAAAAAAGATTTGGGGTGGATATAAGCGGTTCCAGTACTGTCACACCTCTGGCAGTGGACGTAATGGGTAAGATGACAGAAAGTGGTTAAAACATGGTCCAAAATAAATAGGGTCATTCAATCACGTATATTTCTAACATAATTGTTTAACAGGTCTTCGTGGCTACTTGTATGGTGTCTACAAGCATGAAGATGTCTTTGTTGCTGCCAAGAAATCTGACAAACATATTGTACTACCAACGACGCTTGCTGAATTTGAAGAGTTTTTTAATACTGGCAGCATCTTTCTATTATTAAATTACATAGTAAGCTTGCCTTTTTCATTTTCCACACGTTTGGGAGATACCATTACAGATTATGTTAACTGTACATCTATGTTATATAGTATTACATCGTCTCAGCAGCTGAAGAAATCTTGCAAAATCCTGACAAGCAAACAAAAAGAAGATTCGAAGCAATGTTGGATGATGAATACCCAGTTGACGACGATCCTTAACTTCAGTTCACATATCCCAACAAAAAAATAAACTCGACTTGATCCTATTCCCTCTTTACACCGTCTACGTGGGTACTACATTACCTTGTTGGTTATAAATTAATATTTGTTTTATTAAAGAACTATTAATTTTTTATATTTAAATTGAATTTTATAATATAAATAAAAAATGGAGCAAATAGATTATACAACATTAATTACAGAGGAAGTAAATACTATTATTACTAATTATTGGACATTTCTTGAATGGAATTGGCCTATTGTGCATAATAAATTCAAACATAGAACACAAATAAAACATATTAAATTTATTGAAGAAATTAAAGATAAATTATTAAAAAAATTAGGTTATACAGCTGTATTTTTTTTCTTAGTTGTACTATACACAAATAAAGAGTATCCAGCTCCTTATTTTGAATTAGAAAAAGGCTTATTTTTATTATATCATTTAGTTTCTGGTATTTCTGGAGATGAAATTGAAAAATATTTACCTCAAAGTACATTTCATACATTTTATAAAAAATTTTGGATGAATGAAGAGAATTATAAAAGAACTAATAAAATAGTAAATGATTCATTAATGTATATGTTTTCAAATATAAAATTACGTGTTTTATCTGTAAGAAAATATAATCCAGATTTATTTAAATATGTAACACTTATTTTAGATGGTCATGATTCACGAATTAATTATACAGATACGGATTTAGATAGATCACGTTCATATTCATATAAATTTAAAAAGAATGGTGTACGCATACAATTTGCAGCTGATATTAATGATATAATAATTTTTATATCAAAAAGTGAATTCTGTGCAGATAGTTCTAATGGTAGCATATTTTTAAATATGAAACTTTATAATAAAATGAATCAAAATGATACTTTAGCTGTTGATGGTAGATATACTTTGTTCACAACACAGTTTACTGAACTTGCTACAGAAAAAGGATATGATTTTAGTAATAATAACTTTGTATATCCAATGCGTAAAAACATAAATGAAAATTTAACTATTACTGAAGAACATTTTAATAATACATTTGGAAGCTTTAGAAGTAAAATCGAAAATCAATTTTCTGAAATTGGAAATAAATTTTATCGTTTTAATAATAATAAATCAATTGTAAAGATGGATAATATTAAATATTATAATCTTTAGTTCTATGTTGCCTGTTTATTAAAAAATATTACATAGTTTGTAGAAGTATTTAATATACCTATTTTACCACATCATAAAATATGGCATAGTCCTGATTTTGATTTTCCTATTGAAAAAAAATTAATTGACATAGTTGTTAGTATTAAAAAACAAAATAAGGATAAGCTTGATAGAATGGTACAACCACAAAATAATTTATTAAATATGACATTATCAAATAATGAAATGGTTAGAGATGATAATAGTGAATCAGATGATTTAGAAAATAGTGAAAATGATAATGATATTCCTAATTTCAATGAATGTACTAGAAAAAGAAGAAGAAATGTAAAAGGAAAACAGCGTTCAACTGTATCATATGAAATAGAAAGTATTATTGGACATAAAAAAGAAAAGAATGCATATTTATTTCAGGTAAAATGGGTTGGATATAGTAATAATGATAATAGTTGGTTATCTATTGATATATTTAACCATAAAGGATGATTAAATGCATATATTAAAAGGCATAGTCTAGGCATACTATAATAAGAACATAATATATATTAGAATTATATCAAAAATTTATAGAAGAATATTATTAAAGCATAAGAAGAAAGGATTACCAATATTAATTTTTATAGGTTTTTCTGTTTTTTTCTCAGGTTTTATATACAGCTCTTTTATCTCTATATTTCTAATACTATTATTAACTACCAATAGCTTTTTTTTAGAATATGTAGCTTACTATGTTGACAGCAACGATAATCCTTTTAACCATCAGGTAAATTTGTCTTGATTTTCTTCCCACAAAACTGTCCATCACGTTTTCCTTTTTTGAATTTATGGCTACAAAAACCATGATTCATAGACAAATTTAAGAAATGATCATTTGAAAAAAGAGATTCTATTTTATTTTTTAAATTTTTTTGAATTTTTTAATCAAATTTACTTTTCAACAAAATGATTGAATTCTGAATCAATAAATGTATCAATTTCTTTACATAAATTAATTCTAAGATTAATGTGGTTGATAGGAAGATATTTATTTAACGCAACCATTTTCTTTTTGAATGATTTATTTTTATATAAAAATAAAATTCAATTTTATAAAAAAAAGTAATTGAGTTTGAAATTTATTTATTAGCAAATACTAATAGTGATAATTCTGCAACATTTCTATTAGATCATTTCTAAACCTATATTCATTACCATTTACAATATAAAGTTCATTATTATTCTTAAAAAAACCTTCTATATCTTATTGCTCAATTACAATATATTCTTTTTTATAAAATATCTTTTTAACTATATTCATAAATAAAATGGGATCTACTATTTTAAATAAATTTATATAATCATTATATTTTATTAGTTTATATGCAATGAACACGGGGTCATAAGCTATATTTTTTATATTAAATTTATATATCGTAACATATTTTTTCATAAGATCATGTTCATTATGATATATTCTATCATTTTTCTTTACTCTAAATTTTTTTTGATGAACATATTCTAATAATAAATACTTTGCAATAAACAATGTAATATCTTTTATATTTTCATCAACAGGAATATATTTCATCACATTTAAATTATTTATATATTCTGAATTCATTATTGATAGGTTTATTTTTTATTATAGATAAAATTCAATTTGTAGCCATTTTAAATTTTTGTTACCAACAAAAAATTTTTTACCAATTGTTTTTATATGAAAATAGTTGGTAATGCATATGCGCCTCTCTAATATATCTATTTTCTTCTATTCTTTCTTCTTTAATAGCTTGAATCATTTCTCCCCCAAAATAAAAAGTAGCACCGGCTGCTGCACCAATACCTGCAGTAACCATTGCAGCTCTAGGATTGCTTTTTGCCATAGTAGCAGCAGCTCCAGCTAAAGTTCCTGAAACACCAGTAGCCGCGGCTACTGGTCCCCAACTTGGAGAATTAGTATTAGAAGAATTATTAGGAGCATTAGAAGAAGACCCTGCACCACCTTTTCCAAAATTAACATTAATAGTATTATTTGATGAAGAATTTGTATTAGATAGATTAGGGACAGAACTCATATAAATTAATAAACTTAGTAATATTAAACCTAAAGAGCTTATAAGAAGAATAGAAAGATTATCATTTAAGAAATAAATAAATGTCATAAAATTAATATTTAGAGATTCAGATAAAATAGTTGGTACAAATAATATAGAAGTAAAACTATAATTATACTTGTATGAGTTACTAAGATTAGAGCCAATGGACGTTAGATGGATTATTTAAATCCATCAATGTATTTTCGATAATTCCAAAAGCTGGTAGTAAAATTAAGAACTAAGCAAAATAGAATCCAGTAGCAAATTTACCTAGGCTAATAAAAGGCTCTTCAATGTGTTGACTACCACACTATAGTAAGATTAAGAAATCTACTACTAATAACCAGAATGCTAATTTCATTAATGGTCAGAATGCTGAACCTGTAACTCTTGAAGTATCTAATACTGGCATAGCTAAAAGAATTAGAGAACCAAATATAGCAATTACTCCCCCTAATTTATCAGGAATTGATCACAGAATTACATAGAATGGTAATAGATCATTATTTCAAGAATTTTAAGTTAAAACCTTAAAACTCTTCCTAAAAGGGAAAGTTCAATCAATCTTGTAGCACATAGATGAACACATATAAGGTTTTACTAAAGATCTTAAATTATCCATAGATTCAGCCTAAATATAAATTCTTGCACTAGAGGTGCAGACCCGAAGGTGTGAGCCCCCCGGGCTTGGTTTATTTCCTTTGAGATGAATAGAACATTTTAATCCAAATTTATTTTCAAGTGTATTAATTAATCTATTTACATCTTCAGTAGAGAAAGCATATACATTAAGATGTAGACCTTTACCATGTTTAGATCCATCATCTATAATCTAGTATGCTAATCCGATTTCTATTAATAAATCAAAGATATCGGAAGGCACTACTTTAATATTATTTAAATAAAACATTTCTCTATACCTATTAAAACAAGGTAAGCTATAGTAGCAAAAGATAGAGATTCATAGATCTGTTTTGTTTTTTATCTTCCAAAGATTTGCACTAAGATTGTAAATCTTTGGTACAATAAGGTTCAAAAAGATTTAATACTTTTTGATAGTAATTTTTATGTTTAACGGATGTTTGAGCAAATAGAAATCTACTATTACCTATTATAGGTCTTTGTTGAATATGTCCATCTCCAAGTATAATACCTACTAAAGCTTGAGCTGTAATATTAGAAAGAATAATAGTTTCTCTTTCTTTTTTAGATAATCTTTTTTTACCTTTAGTAGAAGTACTGTAAAAAGTTAAACTAAATACGTACAAAGTATTGCCCCATTCGGAGTCTGACTTTGAAAGTTGATTGTATCTTCATGAATAAAATTTATACTTTACGTGCAATCTCTGAGGCTATATTAATATTATAACCTGCTGATTACCTCTATCGAGAAAATCATAACCTTTAAGGTATCTCATTCAACAATGGGGAGAATTCTCAGCATATAGTAACGTTTTTATTGAGAGGTACCTTTTTACCACTCAGGTACAATAGATACAGGAGTTTACATTAGATTAGCTAGAATATAATTATTAGGATGCGTTTAGTGGACTATATCTTTTTGCGATTTTTAAAGATTTTAATTAAGTTATCAATTCTATCTTTGAGAGGATGATTTTTTAAATGATAACCTCTTTCAATAAATAAAACTAATCTTCGTATTGTAATGAAGTCCGGATGTTTTATTGTTTTTAATAGATATTTTTCAAAATATGTAAGCATTGTTTTAATTCCTTGTAAATCTGTAATAATATAATTATAGCCATTCCAACTTTTATCATAGTAAATATTACCGACTCTAAATTCTTTTTAAATTTCTTCTAAAATATCTTTAGATTTTTGACCCACACTAATTGTTAAAGTATAATTATTTCTAATACTAAAATTACCTTCAGCATCAAAAAATCCAGTAAACTAACTATTATTTTTACTAATTTTATTAGTAATAATTGGTTCGATGTTTAATTTATTACAAACTTTAACTAATTGTACGTGTTTTGAGTAAGTTAATAATTTACCATTAATAGAATTAAGAACATCTATTACATATAATTTTATGGACACTCTCCATCTATAAGCTTTAACTTTACTTCTTTTTAAAAGAGACATATGGAATCTTTGTTTAATTTTGTATAAAGTTTTAACATCTTCTTCACCCAAAGTAATTTCACATACTTGAGCATTGCTTTTATACACTGAGAGTGTTCCATCTCCATCGATTAGTCCGGCTAACCAATAATTAAAATCTTCATCTTTATCTGAGCCATTAGTGTCTTTTGTATTAGACTTTGATAAGATTAAATCAGAAATATCGCATGTAGTCTCTGAGGAGACTTATTGGAATCTTTCAGATTCTCAATTAAGTCTAAATAACAACCTACTGGTTGTTTAGGATTGATTTCATCAAAGTCAAGACCTCTTCAAAAAAATCAAAGATTTTTTATCAGACCCCCCCCCAGTATTAGGAATCAGACTATCGATTCGATTTTAACAAATCGAGTAAAATAAAAAAAATAAGATTTATTTTTTTATATTTTAATATCTTAATAATTAATAGATTTCTTAATTTCATTAGAAATCTTATTATCATAAGATATTCGTTTATCTTCTGAGGATCCCATTGTAGTATAAAAATCTTGACATGGCCAAGATCCAAAGAATTTTTGCAAAACGACGCCAAGCGGAAAAGGTCCGAGTGGATACTATCGACATTGTCTTCACTGTCATGTGCCTTGACTTCACAGTAACCAATGGCATTTTGGATGTTTCTTTGTTCAATAATGTACATGATGCCGTCAGGTCGCCTTTCGTGTCTTCAATTGTGCGATTCATCCTAGATAAAAGAATGGAATGGGTAACATTCAGTGATATGTCTAGTATGTATATTTTTGAGAATGACTTACCAGTCAAATACACGTCCGTGTTCAGGAAGGTGGAACAGATGAATCACAATAGGATCGATGTGGTTGGTTAGGAGTTGTTGTTCGCCAATGGCTTATTTGGTGTTGAAATCAGGTAACTTTTGCAAGCTATGATACATAAAGATTTAGCAGAGATACACAAAAACCATATTTTCACATTCACTGCTTACCAATTCAGTAAAATATCAATCATAGATTCATCAAGATCATCCAATTTTATGTCCATACATGTCTTCATCAGTGTGTGCTTGATCGTCTTGCGAGACTTGTTCTTCAATTTCTAAAAACAAAAAAACAACAGCGATAATATCATCTGTTTTCTAATAGTAATGCACTTATGCGAAAAATCACTATTAATTTCTACATCAAAGTGTCATCCACAGCCACATCATCATCCATATAGGGCTTCTTCAAGTGAGCATGATATCCAGTCAAGTTATCCAAGCCAAGAAAGTCTATCAGTGATTTTCCATATTGGTTGTCATTGAGGAGCAGAATGTGATTGAGGGACCTAACAGGGAAAGGGAAAAAAACGTTGCTTCATGTCAATAATATATCCATTTTGCTCCCACAGTCTTTTCAATAAACTTACAATACTTCGTGGACATCTTGGTACATCGTAAAACCTGTTGTCTTCGAATTTTGAAGTACAATAGATTGAAATCGTTTCAAACCATGTGTCAAGTTGAATCCATTGTCTAGAATTATGTCGTTCACATCATCTTCGGTTGGCACATCAGTGGTAGCAGAACTGGAAACATCACCGTTGTCATCATCATCCCCATTGTCACTATTGGTCTATAAATCAAATGATAAATAACGACATTGCATTGAATACATATAACAGAAAAAATTACCATTACTTCAGTTTCGATGCGTCTTCGAGCAGCCTGTGTTGCCAACACCAGAGTCCTTTCAGATCTTATACAATATAGGTACCCCCCCTTTATCTTGTGCCCACGTGATCATGCGGAATTACAATATTAACCAATCAAAGTGCAGCATCGGAATTTATGCTAGTCCAAATTGTGTAGCTCAATGATGCATAACCAATGAGAAATCAGCATTTCAAAACAGGGACTCGCAATCTTTTTATGTCTTTGAAATCTGGAAAAAAAAAGTAAACCTCAAAAATGCTATTTAGCTAAAGTTATCATTATATATTGGCTATTAACCAATAACTTTGCATAAAAATAACAGAAAGAAGCTGTAGAGATAAAAGTATAGTAGTTTAATGACTGATAGAATAAGAAAATGATAAAGATAGTAAGGATAAAATACTAGTAAGAGAAAGGGAAAAGATAATAAAGAGAAAACAGAAATCAATGACACAGCTGGATATAGGATTTTTCATCTCCTAACAGACGTTTGAACTTTTATTTAGGCAGAAGGGATTTAATTTTAGGCAGAGTGGACATGAATGTTAATCTGAGTGGACATGAATAAAAGTTAATCTGGACATGAATAATAATTGATCTGGACATGAATAATAATTGATCTGGACATGAATAATAATTGAGCTGGACATGAATGAAAATCGAGCTGGACATGAATGAAAATCGAGCTAAACATGAATAAAGAATCGAGCTGGATATGAATATAAAACGATCTGGACATGAATATAAATCGACCTGGACATGAATATAAATCGATCTGGACATGAGTAAAATCAATCTGGACAAAATAAAAATCAATCTGTACATGAATGAAAATCATTCTGGACAAGAATAATAATCAATCTAAAATAGACAACCTGGACATAATAACAGTCAACCTGGACATAGTATTAGTCAACTAAGACATAATAAAAGTTGAAGTAGATAATATATTAAGTGTAGCAAAGCAGAATATTTGAGTACTTATTAAGTCAAGACATAATAGAAGTTAAGCAGTACAAAGCCAATGTCACAATATAGTAGTATGGCTGTTTCACTCGTGACAAGAAGCTTGTAGGCTAATGTACAGGAAATGGCAAGGGTGCGTCAAAGACTCACTACAGTGCACATAAGCCTATTTTGCTGCTGTGGGAACTTTGGCGCATGAATCGTTCTCTTCTGTTATCCACTGGTATGTTGTTATTGTAAATAGTATCCCAATTGTTTCGCTGAAAATGTACTGGCCATGGTTCAAAAACGGTCTAAAGAAGGGTGCCCTGTTTGAACTAAGCTTTTACATGTTCTTGAGTGGATCTACAGTATTACACATATATACATTCAATTGTTGACAGTTCAGCTTTTGGTGCGATTGTATGATGCTAGCGCGCTTCAATCATGTTATGTACCCCCTGTATTATGAAATAATGACAAAAAAGGTCGTCCACAGTAAAAGGATTATCGCATTTTTACCATTGGCCGAATTAACTGAACGCAACCTTAACGCTAAGTACCTACATCGATGACTAACGACTTAAAAAAAGCGCAGACACTTAAAGCTTTCAATGAAGCGACTGAAGCTAAGCTAGTCTTGCAACAACATCTCAAATTGCTGGTGATATGCCAAAGGATGTGGCGGCAGATGTATAATACAACTGATTTTGTCAGGCGAGATAATCGTAAGTATCTTAAAGATACTGATCCAGCCATAGAAAGTGATGCTACTCAGGGCCTTGCCCTTTCGCGGCATCAAGGGAAAACCCCCTTGCGACACGTGTCCGTTGTATGACACGGAGCGAAGCGACGAAGGACCGCTAGTACATCTTTTGAAGGCCGTGGTGCTCTAATTCAATCTTTAGTTTCAATACCACATACAAAGATATATTCCTACATTCAATCAGAAACTTACAAGCGATGCATGATGTCTGCAAATGCTAATAGATCTTCATCTTCTATTTCAGCAGCTTCATAAATACAGTATCCTGTCTAAACTTCCAACTTCCAACATTTTCTTGGCTTATTCAGGTACACCCTGTATATTTACCAAAAGTAGTACGTATTAACAACAAGCGCATCTCCTTCATCTTTTCTCAGCTTGCACATGCGATAAAGAGGATATCAGAAAACTTTTAAAAAGGCTTAATCAATTATAATTCCTTCCAAGTGATGCATTCTCCCTAATTAGTATATTCGACGATGGTTGATCCAAACAAAAATCGTTTTAAGGCGCTGAAAATAAAATTTGGCTGTGCTAAATAAAAACGAAAATGGGCCTCAATGTCAAAATCGAGCTACCTAGACGAAATTCAAAGAGCCGTGGAAGTAGAAGGGAGCTGTCATGCTCTTTGGAGACAAATATAAGATCGCTTATCATAGCTAAGAACTTAAGCCGAGAGAACAAGTGCCTACACATCTAAAAGCTACTTTACACTAAAAGTTAGATGTGATGCTAATGTGATGCTAAACAGCTTACCAATAAAAGTGTTGTGATACTCCTAAATGCATCGTCCAATCAGAGTTCAATACAACCAGGCACAGCTATTTTCAAATAGAACTCAAAGATATGATTTTGTCGTTTGCACAGGATACTTTTAAGAAAGAATATAAATGGATTAGACGATGCTGGAGTATATGTATTATTAAAGAAGGTAAATGGTATTGAAAGGGTTATGTTATACAAATGATGGTAGATGGTGTAAAGAGGGAATAGGATCAAGTCGAGTTTCTTTTTTTGTTGGGATATGTGAACTGAAGTTAAGGATCGTCGTCAACTGGGTATTCATCATCTAACATTGCTTCGAATCTTCTTTTTGTTTGCTTGTCAGGATTTTGCAAGATTTCTTCAGCTGCGAGACGATGTAATACTATATAACATAGATGTACAGTAACATAATCTGTAATGGTATCTCCCAAACGTGTGGAAAATGAAAAAGGCAAGCTTACTATGTAATTTAATAATAGAAAGATGCTGCCAGTATCAAAAAACTCTTCAAATTCAGCAAGCGTCGTTGGTAGTACAATATGTTTGTCGGATTTCTTGGCAGCAACAAAGACATCTTCATGCTTGTAGACACCATACAAGTAGCCACGAAGACCTGTTAAACAATTATGTTAGAAATATACGTGATTGAATGACCCTATTTATTTTGGACCATGTTTTAACCACTTTCTGTCATCTTACCCATTACGTCCACTGCCAGAGGTGTGACAGTACTGGAACCGCTTATATCCACCCCAAATCTTTTTTTCAGCTGTGATAGTATACAAATATTCGACAAGATGCTTTTTGACTATTGCTCGAACATGAGATCATACTCAGCGTTTGCTTCCTCGTGTTCGTTTGACGCCAATTTAACACGGTTCTCTTCTCCATCCTTTCCATGAGTTACTATCAGCATGTCGATTTTGCACCTGAAACCACCATTTTCCTCTTTCATCTCTTCTCTTGTGGCTTGGGACAAAATCTCACCACTAAAGCACGTATTAATTCAAGTTCGCTTATGATAATATACTAAGCCCTTTGTTTTGTTTACTTACGTTCGTACTTGGATAATTGTGCACTGAAAAAGAACACGGAAAACATATTGCCACCGAGCAAAGGATTCATTCTCAGACATCATATAACTATGTCTGTTTTGGAAGTCGAATTGGATCATGTCAAATCTAAAAATTAATAATACATACATAATTAGTCAAAAAACGATGGTGCATTGATCAAGATAACGATGTAATAATATTAAAACCCCTTACATATATGAAAAGATGTCATGAATCTTCAATACAACTGAGCTTCCATCATATTCTCCAGCTTTCAACATCTTGATCTTTTCTTCAGATATATAGATTCGTACGGCCATGATACCCCCCTCTTCATACTCCTAGAAACAAAGTTCTCGGTAAAATTAGCATGATAAACATGGGATTTGTGGCTCCCTCCTCTTATATTACTACACACCCGGGCAAGAACTTTTCAGAATTGGAAACACTTTATATGGTTAGACTCATGCAGGTTCACTAAAATTGCCTTTTATGGATGAGCAAGTACCAGCACTCACCAGCCCAAAAATGTGATGGTGGGGTGGGGGGTTGCACGCAAATGTATCAACGATGGAAATCAGGAGTATTCGTTTTGAGAATTTTTTTTATTTGATTGAATTTACAAAAAGCAATAATACTATCGCAATTCATCCTGAAGCAAAAAAAGCACAGCGAGATTCGTTTTGCTTGTTCCAATCCTGGGATTCTATCCTGGGACATCAGTGGGTTTCTGCAATTTATCGTTTTTAAAACGTGTTTGAGTCAAGTATTCGAAATCAAAAGACACGCATAGAAAAATGACATGCTTACCGTTCAAGAGTTTCTCGTCATTTGTTAAGATAGCCCTACAAACAGACAGCAGCACACTTGGAGAGGAAAAAATATTGCATAGCAGCAACACAACAAAAGGAGCCTTTAACTTACCAGCAGTGTACACTCTTCTTTAAGCGTTTAGAGCATAAGCTAATATAATGTTGATAATATTAAGATTTTATACTAACCTTTAATTTTGATGGACTTACCTGACTCATTTCGTCTTCAATAATGTAATACTTTTAGTACATTGTTAATCAACCATCTAACGCTGACACATTACCTTTATATTTAGCAGTTGTTAAACATCCTATATAAATAATCTAAGGAGATTAGTAATAACATGCATGCCAAGAAGTGTCGAAGTCTCTGAGATTAAGAATAATAAGTTATGCTCAATGCCTCAGAGAATTACGCATGCCAGACCAAGAAGAAAGAAGCCAAGAAGAAAAGCTTGCTGAGTCAGATTACGCGTACGTGTTGCTGCCTAATAATATATCGGAGTTGTTCCTCTTCGTCTTGGCGAATCAGAACAATATATAAAGAACAGCTTATGCAAATATGCTCTTCCTCAATTCTTACTTCTCTTAAGCAAAATGTCACATCAAACACAAAACACGTTCATGGGAAGATTTTCTTCGAACCCGCATTCTACTCACAACTATTGCAATGTTTGCAAATTAAGATACTCGCGAAAAAAAAAACTGGCAGCTTGATAGGTTTACCAGAGGGTGATGACTTGACGAAATTTCGAGTAATTTGAAGCGATTGTGCGACAGATGTGTGGTTTGAGGAGTGGGGATGGATCAGATGACCCGAAATCCCCCCTTAATTCCCTTAAATCGCACCCCCAACCTCAAATTTTGGAGTCTCCCCCACTTCATTTTTTCAGGATGCACTGTATTAGCCAATCAGCATTCGTTATTTGCCATCGGAGACAAACTTATTTCCTAATTTATAAAATCCTTTGCCGGGTGTGTATTATTTGATTTACCTTAAATATTTGCTTTACAGCATCATTCGCTTTGTCGTTGTATACACATTCGTTGTGATAATTCTCGCTCTTGATCATATTAGACAAATGGCTGAAAGTGACTTCACCAATGTACTTCTTCATGTTGACTTCCTTGTCAGTCTTCGGAGTATTTACAATACCAGATATTGCGAGCCTACATATGTTGGTAATTATTTATTTAATTTATTACTTAGCAATAACACAGAACAAAGGACACTGTTCATGAGGCACTTGTAGACAAGTGTTTGGAATAACTACCATTATTCTAGGTTTATGAGTACCGTCATAAAGACCAGCTACACCTTCAAAAAAATCAAAGATTTTTTCTCGGACCACCCCCATTCATAAAGATCATTCTTTTTTATTTAAAAATAAAACTTTAAAAGTAAATATATAAATAAAGTTAAAAATTTAAAAGTTAATAAATTATTAAACAGTCTTCAAAGGAAAAAAACTTACTGTAAATGTTTTTCTTAAGCTTTTGTCAACTTGTCCTTTTACAAGTAGACGCAACAAGCACGGAACAAGTCTTTTTGCAGCCCATTGATATCAGCGGGAGGAAGGGGGGGCAAATGAAGTCCATCTCCTTTTTTCTGGATAAAAATCAGACCAAATCACAAGTATGTTAGAATAATTTGAAGATAGAATATGCTTGAACTATATCTTCTATACCTTTTTCACCAAGTACTCTTTCAATGGTTGTAACAAATTTGTGTCGTGTGCCACGATGCTGCCACCATCCTGTTATAAATAAAATAATAATGATACACATTGAGTAAATACACGAAAAATATGGTGCATTTCATCTGTAATCGCCAAAACTTTATTTTGTTTCAATTTTCAATTTTAAAATTCCGCTTCTTTATTTGGTAATACATGTAATAGTGCTTCTAATCATTCTGACCAATGCGACGATGGGAAGTTAATATTCTGGAAGAGTATCTTGTAACAATTTCTAATGCTTCTTGTGTTGGTTTCTCTTGAGAGTAAGCATCAATAAAACGCCAAGCTCTGTTATAAAACCGGCGAATGAGAACAGGCTCTTGATCAGCTGGAGATAATCCATCGAGGATTGTTGGTAGATTTGCCTTCAGGCCTTTAAAAGTGTAGTCGCACTTTATTCTCGCTTCCCTTTTGGCAGCACCCCAGTATCGTTCAATCCAGTTACATTCGCAGTGAAATTTTGGATAGAGTTCGAAGATATGACCTGCTTCTTCTACTGCTTCATGAAGTGCTGTCTTTTGCTGCTGAAAATCAGGTTGCACTGCGAGGAAGTGTCTAGCGCAACATCTTCTATCCATCTCGGGCTCCATTTTGCAATCCATACGCCAAGATTTTTCGGGTCGGTATGGATCCTCATCGCACCAAAGTCCACGCTCCTTCAATATCTTTTCCACGCCTTTAAACTGACAGACCCATTGCTTAGTAGCAGTTTTAATTTCTACTCCTCGTTTTCGCTTGATGACATTTTCTTGGAACTTTTCGTACATATCCTGCTCAACTTCTTTACTAAGTTTCTTGCAAATGTATGCGCCAGAACGAAATTCGTGATTTGCCGGATCGTGTTTGTCATCAATTACACCGCAGCATTTAGGAGTTTTACACATGTTTTGAGCAAGCAATGCATTGCGAGGATACACATTATGATTGCTGCTTTGGTCAAAAATAAAAACAGCTTGAGCGTCTGGATGTATCAGCTCAAATAAAGGGATAGCATCCTCTGTAAGCTGTTTGATCATATCCTTGCTTGTCCAATAGCCCTCTCTGTTGCTTCCAGCATAGAAATAGGTTCGAGATGTCCAAGCTGCAGATCGCATCGTTCCATGGCATGCACATTGGAATTCAGACACCATGATAGACTGTCCTGGGGTTTTGTTGCGCAAGATCGTTTCTCCTTTCCCCAGCCAAAGAGTCTGCTTTCCGTCGTTAGCATAAAACGTTGCCTCATCATGCGTTACAAGAACAAGTTTCTTTTGGCCAGACTCCAACGTAGGTGGGATCACGTTCTCAACAGTGTCGACTTGATAGGTATCCATGCGCTTTTGATATTCCATCATTCTCTTAGCCCATTCTAGACGATATTTGACTACATCATCTCGTTCGTGTCCGTCATAATAAACATCCTTGTTGTTCTTGCGATACACATAGCCCCATTCACGCATAAATCGCCATAAAGTGGTATGGGACACCGACCAAGGAACACTGAGCACGTCAGGTAGTACTACTTCATTGACAAACTTCAATAGGTCTGGGATGTTATGCTGCTCGACCTTTTCTTTACTGATCCATGTACAGACTCGCTCCTTGATCGTCTCATCGCTCAAAATCGATTTGCGCTTTGAATTTTTTCCTTGCTGATGTTTGGAAATAAAACCGAAATCGAGGTACTCATTTGCCCAGCATCGAATTGCTTTTGGCCTGTAGTCTTTCGATGCATCAGTCCAGATGTCAGTAGCAGCAAGCTCAGAGCTCTTGATCTTCTTGTTTCCCTCTAGCTGATAGTAGAAATATCGGTGCACAGCCTTTAGCTTGCATATATGAAACGTGCCAGCTTCATTAAAAGCATTTTGAGCATTAGCATTGGGTGTAACGAGTGTAGTTAGGCTCTTATGAGCTTCGAGTATAGCTTCATATTTCTTTTGCTGGGCTGCTTCTTTGTTTGCTTCTTCTTCTGCCCGAGACAAAGCCTGCTGATCAGTGCTTTTATCGGTTGTAAAGCCGTGGTCAGTCAACTTGGATGACATTTTAACAGCAGCGTCGGATTCTTTCCCTTTCCTCCACTTTGTCGTTGGCGAGTCCTTCGTATAAACGCCTCTCAGACCGCTTCCCGCGTTTTGGGTCCAAACGAGGGGTAGCTGGGTAGCAGCGCGCCCAACCATTCCGCTACTTAATTCCAAGAGCTCCCAATCAGCAGGAACAGCTTCAGAATCTGGTGTTTCTTCAGCTAAAACAGAGACTTCTTCGCTTCTCTCAAATGCCTCAATGGTAATACGTCCAAATTCGTCACATTGTCTCGCTCGTGCAGCTTTCTGGCACTTGCTTACGTAGGGCATAATATCAAGATAAAAGGGTAAAAGAGGCAAAGTAGATCTGATTCGCTATTTCGTTTGCACGTGATTACTAATAACTCCGATGGCTCTTGTGCTACCATTTCAATTTTCACCCTCCACCTGCTAAATCCTTGAAATTTGCCCTTGACTGACCAACTTTGACAGGCTTCAACTTTCTTTTCAAGTGGTTTTTCAAACTTCTACACTTTAATAATTATTTATAATAGGTCTAAAAAGCATTCTTAAAGTATAGTTTTGTAATATCTTGAGATAGTGAGTCCCTGAAGCTTTTCAAAGTTCGTCTAAATTATCGGCGATTACAGACGAAATGCACCATATGCTGTCGTTCGGTCGTGAGCAAATAAATATTACCTCGATGATTGTACAACTACTGACTTCAAGAATATCACTATTATTGTGATTGTTCTGAGCTTGATAAGCT